TTCTTTTCTGCTTGTTAACAGTTGTTTTGTGCAGCTCTCTGGTCATTTCTTGTTAGTTTTGGGGTTTTTTTGTGTCGCTTTGTAGTAATTTGTGTGTGTTCATGGTCATTTGTGTTATTTTTTGTTGTTTTGTGTCTGTTTGTAGTAATGTGCATCACTTTGTGGTCATTTTGCGTTACTTTTAGGTTCTTATGTGCTTGTTTTGTGCTGCTTTCTGGTCATTTTGTGTCCGTTTGTGGTGGTTTTGTGTGTGTCCGTCTCATTCTGTGTCCCTCCCTCCACAGTTCCTCCAGGACCTGGTGTCGGCTGTGGTCCAGATTCTGGTCCAGAGGGGGCGCCTGCAGGGCTGGAAGCCCGACAGGATGGCTGACGGGTCTGTGGGGGTGCAGCTGCTGTCGGAGCAGATGTGTTCTGAGCTCAAGCCTTCAGGTGAACATCTGGTTCTGGGGTGTTTGGACCTGTTGGGGCGGTGCTGGTGTTGACTGTACTGTACCTCCCTCCTCAGACCAGGGCCTCTGTGACGTGTCCTGCCTGGAGGACTGGATCTTCAGGGTGCCCCAGGTGTCCCTGTACCTGGAGCTGCTGGTGGCTGAAGGCCTGGAGGTGGCGCTGAGCGGCCGGCCGACTCCGACGCTGCTGCCGCCCTGCAGGGAGACGCCCTGGAAGGACCTGAGGAGCCTGCTGGACCCGCCCACCCTCATGTTCCTGGCCCCACAGGTCTGAGTGTGGTTCGCTTTTCTGGATTGTTTCTGACTTTGTGCTCATTTTGTTCCTGTTTGTGCTCATTTTCCGTCTCTCTGGGGTCATTGTGAGTCTCTTGCTGGTAATTTGTGTCATTTTGTGGCCATTCTGTGGTAATGCGTGGCTCTTTGTGGTTGTTTTGTATCTAATTGTGGTCATTTTGTTTTTGTTGGTGGTAATTTGTGTGTCTTTGCGTTGTTCACTTTCTCTTTGTAGCAGTTTTGTTTTACATTGTGGTCATTTCTGTCCATTTTTTGTGTTCATTAGTGGTAGTTTGTGTGTCTTTGTGGTCATTTCTGTCCATTTTTTATCATTGTTATGTGTTCATTCGTGGTAGTTTGTCTTTTTGTGGTAATTTTGTGGTAGTTTTCTGCGTCCTTCTGGGCATTTAGCATCATTTGTGGTAATTTGTGTCTCTTTGAAGTTCTTTCGTTGTCTGTTTGTCGTTGTTTTTTACCTCTTTGTGTTCATTTAACAGTCGTTTTGTGTCTTCTTTCAGTCATTTTGCATATTTTGTGGTAATTTGTGACTCTTTGTGGTTGTTTTGTGTCTCTTAGTGATGATTTTGTGTTTGTTAGTGGTACTTTGTGTGTCTTTGCACTTGTTTAATGTCTCTTTGTGGCAGTTTTGTTTTCCTTTGTGGTCATTTTGTCTCTTTTTGTGGTAAATTTTGTCTCCTTAGGGTCCGTCTGTGCGTCTTTGCGGTTGCTTTATATCCATGTGTCATTTTTTTTCTTCAGTTTTGTGGCAGTTTGTGTGTGTTTGCAGTTGTTTTGATATCGCTTTATGTTCATTTTGTGTCTTCTTCTGGTCATTTTGCATCTTTTGTGGTAGTTTGTGACTTTTTGTGTTCATTTTTTGTCTCTTTGTGGTTGTTTTTTTATCTAATTGTTGTAATTTTGCATCTTTTTTGTGGTAGTTTGTGTCTCTTTGTGGCAGTTTTACATTATTTCTGGTCTGCTGGACCTTCCTGCTCTCGTATTTCTGCCTCCTGAGGTCCAGCTGAACCTCTTTCTTTGGTTTTGTTTATCTTGAATTTAAATATAGCTGTTATCAGTGTAATTTGACTTGTTTGATTTACACAACAGGAACTAGCAGCAGCGAGTCCGATCGGACGGAATGAAACAGAAACGCAGTAAATTAATCTGTGACAAGAGGAACCGGTTCTCCGTCATAGTTTACATGATGATCCGTTGATTTACAGTCGTGTGGTTTTATTTCAGCGCCAGACGGACGATCCTGCAATTAGCAGACAGCAAACTCATAATATAAATGTTTCCGTCCTGGTTTTCTCATTTTCTACAGCTAAATGGAGCTTTGTTATGTTTATTATGTTCATTTCAGCTGTTTTCAGCTTGTTTTTACTGAATATCTGCCAGAAAATCCTCAAAAAATCAGAATCTGTACCATGAAAGTTTTAAAACGTACGTATACAGTTCATTTTAACATTTTAATTCAGATGCCGCCATAGACGACTAACAGGCCTCCTATCGCTCCTGTACAGGACCTGCAGCCTGTTTTTGGTTGTCTTGTGTAGTTTTGTGTCACTTTGTGTTCATTTTGTTTCACTTTTTGGCTTTTTGCTTCCTGTTTATACCTGTTCT